GTTGCATTATGGTGTTAAGTGCAGGACTGAGATTGGTATGAAAGGGCTGCTTCACAGCTTTTTTCTCACTTAAGGCATTAAGAGAAAACAGAAAGTATAAAAGGACTTAATGTGCTAATAGATATACGCACGCACGCACACCAACATAGATGCATGCATACTGGGGGGGCCTGAATACCGGGGTCTCCTTCTAACAGGGCGGGCCTCATGACAGATGTAACCTAAGACAAATGGAGACTGTTCTAAGGATGGGAAGAAGCACTGAGGGACTCTGAGCCGGTGAGATAAAATTTTATGATGTGAAAGGAAGAAGTCCAGGGAAGAACAGGCCCCAAGAGAACCCACCGCAGCCCTCCCCCATCCACCCCACCTCGTCGTAGCCAAGGCAGGGAAGAGAAACCCACCAGGGCTGAGAGACAACCATGCTGTGCCTCTTGGGCAGGGCAAAGTCACCCCACTACCCGCAAGCTCAAAGCAAAACACGGCCCGTTCCCTCTTCTACCTGTCCACATCTCTGAATTTGGTGGGGAAAAGAGAAGAGCTATTTCTCAACACAGAGCATTTTCGTGTGATTTTGTTATGTTCTTGTATAAAACCGCGAGTGCAGGCCAGGGATACTGGGCAGAGTCGCAGGCTGCACACCTAGAAACACAGATTTGGCTCAAGACTCCAAGGGCCTCTCCAACACGGAGCCGGAAGAGCGCAGCTTGAACCAGGAGCCACACACGGTACCATCCACCCTCCAGCTTGGGAATCCTTATGAAGACCTGCGGCAGCAGTGACTGAGTTCACCCCAAAAGCACTCCCATAAAAGCCCTCGCTTTCCTCTCTTCTCTGCTCAAGGTGTGGGGCTGCACTTCAGAGTCTGGAAAATGCCTGCCTCTCTTCTCCAGGTGCTGGGAGGGAGTACCTGGCCAGGGACATGCTGCTCATCCAGAAGGGGCAGAGGAAGGGCTGAAAACTTGGCCTGAGAATCTTCAAGGGGTCCTTGCATGGCACCCAGAAGCCCTTTCTTCACCAAGATCCCTGGCACTATGTGGAAAGGATGAAACATGAGAGTCCTACATTCTTCACTCAACTCTCTACCCTGAGGTCTTCATGCATTTGCAGTAATGCAGACTTTCAACTATGGCTGCTCCTTGCGCCCCCAAGGAACATCTCAGTTCAGAAGAACTTGGCACGCTCTTCCACCTGGCTGCTGTCATCTGGGTAAAGCTGGTCTATCTTCCGGTACTTTCCCTTCCCTTTCATCTTGAAGATGGCAGAGCAGGTACAATATTTGTGGGTTTCACAAGCTTAGTAAAACCCCCCCCCCCATCTGTGACTTCTTTGGCGCCTCTGAGCAGAGTAAGGCACTGTTAAGCAGGACAGGAATGGCACCTCTTAACCATTCCCCGTGGCATGAAAAAAAAAAATCCATTCAAATTTATTAATTTTTCAAGGGAAAAAATGCTCAGGGCAGCTTTTCCTCTTAAATTCTCCTTCATTTCCCCCAAACCTTTCATTCTTTCAATGGATCTTCTTCATGCCCTCTAATATTTTTCTAGGCATCTGAACAGAGCTTTCAGTGAACGCATCAGGTAGGAGCCAGAAACATACTTTACCAACAATATGTGCCAATCAAGCCACCGACCTCGCTCTTCCCCATCAGTACTAGCTCCTTGTAGGAGCCAACAACAAACCCAATCAGGTACCCGAGAAGCAACACGTGACAGTATCCCTCAACGTGCCCCAGTCTCCTCACCTACAAAATAAGGAGGTTCGGTCTTAAAAATCCCTTCCTGCTCTAGAATTCTGTGATTTTAAAATTTATGCAGAAAAGATGAAACATGAGAGTCCTACATTCCCCACTCAACTCTGTATCCTGAGGTCTTCACGCTTTCCCAGGACCTGTCGGGTGCAGTTCAGTTTGGCCACCTTGCCACTCCCCGAGACGCACTTGAATAATTACACAGTGAGGCCTCCGCCCTGGCTGCAGAAAGCCCTAATCTCAGGTCTCTTCGTTCCAAAGACCAAAAGGTGAATTTTCTCTTTGGAAGGTCATGCACAATTCCATATCAATCAGGATGGCTGACCTTTATGTCTTTTTTTTTTTTTAATCTCATGTACCTTCTTTCTTTCTCATATTAAGAAAAAAAATCATCTCTTATCTTTACTTTTAAGAATATTAAAATGAGGCTCAGTGCCGAATCTCCAAGGCCCCAAAGCAACTCTATCCACGGAGGTATCTGGGCCAGAAACCTGGGAGCTAGTCTCAACATTTCCATCTCCCTGGCCCCATGGTGACCAAGAACTGCTGATCTGGCTCCTAAATGTATCTTAAATGTCCATCCCCATTGCCTTCAGCTCCCCCAACCCCACTGCCTTGCCCCGGGGAGGAGGGGCCTCTGCATGTTCTCCACCAACCCACCTCCTGCCCCATCCATTTCCTAAGCCACAGTAACCTGTATAAGATGCACACAGTGTTACATCACTCCTCGTGTCAGACTTCCCCGGGGTCCCCACTGCTTCCAGGAGGTTGTTCCAAATCCTTCAGAATTCTTAACAAAACATCTGATGCCTGACTTCCTCGTGTTCCCATAGCTGAGCTCCTTCCCGCATCTGGCTCTCAACTTGCTTTTCCCTTGTCCGGCACAGTCCTTTCCAGGGCTCCTTCCTCCACAGCACACACGTGCTTGCTCCCTTTTGCCTGCCTATTCCAGCCACTCTTGAAGCTCAGTTCGAATGCCGTTGCCTCTGTGAAGCTCCCTTGGCCACCTACGGCAAGTCCCTCAGGTACACCTGCTCTGCGCACCTGGGTCTGTTTTAACCAGTGACATTTTTTTAAATAATTTTTTATTGTTTCTTTTTAGTTCCACATGACAGTAGAGTCCATTTTGATATAAATACATAGCATGGAATATATGTTATTCCAATTAGGACCCCAGTCTTTTGGATATATGTGACGGTGAGATTCACTGTGGTGTATTCATATAGGTACACAGGAAAGTCATGACAGAGTCATTCCACTGGCTTTCCTTTTCCTCTCCTGCTTCCCTTCCCTCATTCCCCTTTGTCTAAGCCACCGAACTTGTATCTCCTGCCTCTTATTGTGGATTAGCTTCCACATATCAGAAAACATTCGACCTTTGGTTTGGGGAGATTGGCTTATTTTGCTTAGCATAATAGTCTCAAGACCCATCCATTTGCCAGCAAATTCGATAAAGTCATTCTTCTTTATTAACCAATGACTTTTTACCATCTACCTTCCTCCCAAAAAACTCCTTACAGGGCAAGGGGCAAATCTCTGTGATGGTTCTTGTACCCAAGTCACCAGACAAGAGTTTCAGAGCATTACAGATTCTACTTGACCAAAAGAATGAAAATGTGGGAAGAAAAAGGAAGAGAAAAGAGACATACAAACTATTTATGTGTAGCCTAGCCACACATCTGCCCCCTTTCTTATTTTTTTTTTTTTTTTTTTGAAAAAGGGTCTCACTATGTCGCCCAGGCTGGCCTCAAACTCGCCAACCTCCCTCCTCAGCCTCTGGTGTAGCACACTCCAGCTCCCCACTCCTGCCCATTCTTGATGGTACAGAAACAGGAGGAGAGAGAAGAAAAATGAGGAAAGTTAAAATAAGAGGACGAAGATAGGAATAGTGAGAAAAGAAGTGAAAGGATCACCCCATGATTCTTTGGGACACCTTCAAAAAAAAGCACAAGGACTTTGGTGTTTTAGAAAAGTTGGCACACGACCTTTCCTCCATCTATTCTTATCTTTAGAATGCCCCAAGTGGAGAAGGTATTCCAGAAAGGAGGACAATATGGGGAATTGAGGTGGCCGAGGAAATAACACTTTTGTTTGAGGACAAGGCACTGAGCATCCACGAACTTGGGTGAAATTTCTTGTCCACAAAGAGATAAAACAAAGTGACCTCTGGAGATGCCCTCTGGGGCCTTTGTAGAACATGGAAGCCCCAGTGCCCATGGCACCCGCTTACCGCTGCCTCTACCTCCATCTTAACCAAACCATAGGATGTTTCAGTGCACTGAAGGTCAAATGAAGGTCACTGACGTTTCCCTCACTACACGGGTTTCAACCACCTAAATCTGAGTCCCTTGAAGCCCACCATGAAAATGCCACCTGCACTGAGAAAGCCACTCAAAATCCAAGTTCCTCACTGGAAACAAGGGCCAAAGGTAGGGCTCTCTTGAAGTCCATAACTAAGAATGAGTGACTAAACCGATCTGGCAAAAGCAAATCAGAGCAGAAATGCTTACCCACCCAGGCCTTCTTTGCAACCTTTTTTTTTTTCCAGTTAAAATAATGTTTTTCATGTAACACCCAAGTTCCCCTCCACCCAATATATTTCAGACACTGGCATTTCATGTCTCCTCCTGCTCAATCTCTCTAGCTGATCTCCTCTTTCTTTCTTTCTTTCTTTCTTTCTTTTGTACAATGAGATACAACAGAGTTATTCAGTAGAGAAAAGCAGAATCGGGACACAAATAAATGAAACGGTTTGGCAGCTCTAGGATCATTGTTCAGTGAAACAGATACAAAGTCATTTCCACAACCGTGGTACTTACAACAATACTGAATGGAAGGGTACGAGGACTCTTGTGAAGCAATCAGGAGCAGTTTGTTACATTGGCCAACACCAAGGACGGCCCCATCTGTTTAAAAACCTTTAGAAATAAACTGAAGGGTGACTTATGCTCACTGTAAACTCCGTCAGTGCGGCCTGTGCTATAAATTTGGTGGATTTAGTCAGCGTGGCTGCCCAGAGTGGAGGAGCACAGCTAATAATTCTCCTCCAAGGACTTCTCTGAGAAGTAGTCCAGGGCTCACAAGGACTATCAATCTGTTCATTAGCACAAGTCAAAGTTACATGAGACTAATTGAGAGCAGTCTTCTCATTAATAGTCTGTGACAAAACAACAGCTGTACAGTCATTAAAAAAGAAAATAAAGCCCAGAAATTCACATTAACATCAAATAATGGTTTGCAGGCTACTTACATCAGTGTCGGGTCCCTTGTCTGCACCCGGGCATGAAAAAGTAACAAACTCATGGCACCTCTTGTGTACCACAAAACAGCAAACTGAGAGAGACAAAAGAAAACGAAAATTAATATATGGGCTTTGTTCTCCAAACATGGCTACTTACTGTTAGAAGTTGTTTTCATTTCAATGTAAATAAAATCTTATAAACACTCATCAGAAGGCACTTCACCTTCATAAGCAACATTTTGTATTGATTTGACTCACTGATGACACAGTCACAAAATGCCAGAGCTGACAGGAGCCCAGGAGACCTATGCTGTGGTTCCCAGCCCCTAAAGTTGAGGGAGAGGGGAGCTAGAGACTACAAGACAGTTTTCCAAGGTACAAACCAGAATCAAAACTTAAAGCACCTTGCAACATCCCCTACCAATACATACATGCACTCACAGACGTCTGTGCACATACATGAGCAGACACATGTATGTAAACATTATACCCTGTGGGTGAAAATAATGCAAATATAAAAAAAGAATAACTGATTATAAATAACTCCTGAGCATCCCTTAGTGTGGTTTGCAAGACATCCTCAGTGAAATCTAAACTTAAGGGACTCATCAAGGCACAACCCAATCTCCAGAAAACAGCCCTCTGAAATGGGAGAAGTTGGGGTGCACTGAACAACTTCTGTTTGCCTGTGCTGACATGAGTTGAAGGAGTCCCTGCAAATCTAGCAAAATCTATTACACAGCAAGTATTTTCCGGGCTCCACATGGTTTTGATACCTACTCCTGGAGATGTACCAATAAAATAATCTGTTAGAGAACTTAGTAAGCAATCCCCTAGAGGTTTTCAGGGATGATGTAATGTGGGGGAATATGAGCAATATCTGGTCCTTCAAAGCCTGAAGTCTAGCTTCAAAGGGCAGCCTCCATTACTGTTGGTCATCATTGAATAATAAAAAGGTTCTAACAATATACTCTCAGAGTGTTGGGGAAGTTGCAAGCTGTGGTTTGAATGTTTGTTTCTTCCAAAACTCACAATGAAATTTGGTTGGACTAGAGTGGTGTTGGGAGGTGGGACCTTGGAGAGGTGGTTGGGCTGTGAGGGTTTGGCCCTCATGAGTAGGACTAATGCCATTTCAAAAAAGCAAGTTCAGCCCCCTCTGCTGCTTCTATCATGTGAGTATAAGGTGTGCCCTCCACCTGGAGGAGGCAGCAAGAACACCCTTGCCAAATTTTAGCACCTGACCTTGGACTTCCTAGCCTCCTGAAGAGTGAGAAAATAAACTTCAGTTCTTTATAAATGACCAGTCTCAAGTATTCTGTTATAGCAACAGAATGCAACTAAGACACTGCACAAAGAAAGCTAGAACTCCTCTAATTCTCAGTTCGTGTGCTATTTTCTTCTCTTACCAATGATAATGCAACTCCCTGCACATATGTTAGTACATGAAGGAGATCAAAGAGGGTGAGCCATTTCAGTGGGTGGGAAAGGACAGCAGGTTTGCTGGGCGCTGAACTCCCAACAGGAGATCAAGTACTGAGAGAGTACTGAGAGGACCATGAGTGGTCAGAAAGAAATTCAGAATATTTTTGATGAGCCTTGGAAGTCACCGAGAGGTTTTACACTGAAAATAACACAGAAAAAAGCAATATCTAAGATATGCAAATAGTAGCAACAGGAAGAATTTAATAGTATAGATTTGTGGCCATAAGACCCAGTTACAAGTCTTTTGCATAGCAGAGGTATGGAAGTAATTGTCCAACACTATTCAGGATGCCAAGATACGGACACAACAGATGCCAGAGAAATTTCAGAAGAATTTTAGGACTTGCTGATTAACCATAGGATACGCTGCACTAAATATCCTATTTCATGTGAGCACACACATACATATGTACACACAGATGCACATTCCTATACAAACCCAGAGGATGAAGAGATGGGGTTTCCCTATAAGAGAAGAAGAATCAGGGGTGATTGTTGGGTAGGAGCCATCCCAGAAAACTTAATGAATGAAAAGATCTCATATAGGAGCAACCTTTTAGAGGTGGAACTGCCCAGGAGAGGGGTTATCTTGAGCTGCTACACACCATCTACCACGCCCAATACACCTGCCCACCCTTATGCACGGCCAGAGGCTGGAGGAGGTTGGAGAGAAGCAGAAGAAAGGGCCCCCTGGCTGTCTGGGCAGCACTGAGCCAATCAAAGGGCAGCACTGAGCTCCTGGGAGTCCTCAGAGGAGCGTCCTTTCCACTGTGTTCTGCTAAAAGCATCTTGATTGCAAAATCCTCCAAGGATAGATAATAAAGCAGGGCTTCGAAGGCGCAAATTAATCTGATCTGCTCACAGCCCCCAGGCACAGAATCACTTCTCGTTCACTGGAATCAGAAAGATCAATTACGAACAGAAGAGGTTAGAGCAGCATTATTCCTGATCATGGTTTATTCTGGAGACGGTGTTTGGAGAGGAAAATCAGCCTTCCGATTTCCCACTTAATTGTTTAAACACCCAGGTCTTTCATCCTTTTTATTTTTTTTAAGTCCTCTCCATATGCGGATGAACAGTGTTCAGAAAACCCATATTTGTCAAACCCCTTTGGAAAGACGTCTTGTCTTCTGCACCTGTCATTGCTATCTGCATCTACACATCAACACAGTGACACAGCTCCACCTGGAAGTATTGCTATTGCACACCTAATAAAACATGTCTCATTTCAAATTTTTTCCTGAGAAGAACCAGGCCATTACTGCCCAGTAAAACTTACAGGGAAGCAAAAAAAAACCCACCCACCCCCAAATTACATCCCTGCAGCCTGCCTTAGGGGCTCCCTCCTCCTCTTCTATGCACAGAAGCTTCCCATTTCAATGAACAGATTCTACCAACAGGAGGCAGACAGGAGGGAGAAGGGTCTTGTGTTTCCAAAGAGTCACACTCACAGATGGGGGTTATCTGAGGACAAAGACCCTATAGGACTGTTTGAAAATTCAAGATTCATGAAAGATGACCTCCAAAAGACAAGGAAATAGAATCTGCCCAACCTGGATGACCAGGGAGAGAAAGCCCAGTTGTACCTTACCTTTAAACCCACCCCGGTCCCCCATGGAAAAGATGGAGAAGAGGACCTTGTAGTTGGGCTGACTCTGGCTGAATATAGCATTTATCTGGGAAGGCCTGCCCCAGAACACCCAGCCATGACCAGAGATTCCAAAATGGCTGGTCTTGACCTCTGGTTTCAAGTTGCAAACTAAACTGGGTAATTCACATGCTATAAGACAATATAATCAAACAAGACATTTGAAAAGTCTTGCTAGTGACATTGAAAGAAGAGGAATAGATTGGGACAATAAAATAAGAATTCACTGGACTTACCTGGAGATGGCCAGTATAGGTCTTTCCCTGGCTAAAAAATCGGGAGTTATTATCTTTCATATTTTAAAATCTAAAGGAGGGGATGGGGTTGTGGCTCAGCGGTAGAGCACTCGCCTAGCATGTGCAAGGCCCTGGGTTTGATCCTCAGCACCACATAAAAATAAATAAATAAAATAAAGGTATTGTGTCCAACTACAACTAAAAACAATAAAAAAATAAAGGAATTTATCTTACCATGTTAATGTGGAGTAAGGGGAATTGGGGAGAAGGGGAAATAAGGTGGTACCTGTCTCATGGTACACCTTCAATAATACCTGCCTGACCTGGACAGCCAGGAAGACAAACTGGTAGCCCCTGAGCTGGGAGGAAGTGGAGACACAAATCAAGGCAGATTCTTTCTGCATCATGGTTTTTCAGGGGTCCAAACTCTTGGTCCTTAAACAAATCTGTGCTTAAGAAGCCACAGGCTGCCCAGAAAGTCTGAGTTGGAGCCTCATTTCAAAGACTATGGGTCACCTGCATCTGTGAAGCCAAATGAGAGGATGGAAAACAGGAATCCAACCGTGTCATAAAGACACAAAGTCAATCTTCACGCCATTAACTGCTAAGCACAAAATCACTTTCCTCTAATCCTCTGCATGACACGCTTACTCTGCCTCCCAGACATGGATGACTGGATAATGCACATAATGTGGAGAGAACAGCGCAGTGGGACAAAGAGTGACAGAGACCACAGGCTCCGCCAAGTACATTCCTTAACACACCCTGACTGTGGAGTTGAGAATGCTCAACTGTGTCAAAAGCCATCATCGTGCAGGTGACTACCTGAGGGCTCTTGATCCTAGACAATGTCTCCTAGAAAGATCCTGAGAAAACGTACGTCCAGAAGCCTTTCCATACCCCATCCATGCATAAAGGTCTGACCAAAAAAATATATATATAAATATATATATATATATGTGTGTGTGTGTGTATATATACACACACACACACACACACACACACACACATACATACAGTGAACTGACACTATGGATAAGGAAGGGGCTGTAGCAGAGTATGTGCTGTCAGTCAACTCCCCTTCAGAAGTGCCACCCGCCAGCACCGATCACCCACAAATCAGTAAGTACAGCAAGGGTTCTAACCCAAGGGGAAAGTTCAGCTAACAGTAATCAGTCACCACTATATGCCCACTAGGATGGCTATTGTTTTCTTTTAAAAAGAGGAAGAAAAGAAAAGGTGAAAGGAAAACTGTTGGCAAGGATGCAGAGAAATTGGAACCCACATCCGTGGCTGGTGGGAATGTGAAATGGTACAGCTTCTTGAACAGTCTGGAGGTTTGCTAAAAAATTAAACATGGGATTCTCATATGATCCAGCAATTTCACTTCCAAAGAGAAAAGAATTGAAAGCCGGTACTTAAAACAGATATTTGTACACCAAGTTTCATAGAAGCATCATTCTCAATAGGTAAGAGATGGGAACAACTCAAGTGTCCTTTAACAAATGAATGGACAAATGGAAGGTATTATGTACATGCAAAGAGCAAAATCCTGACATGTGCAAGAAAAGGATGAATCTGAATACATGGTAAGAGAAAGAATCCAGAGAAGAAAGAAACAAATGTGTATGATCCCACTCATGTGTGGCCGCTACAACAAGTTCATAGAGTAGAACAGGAGTTCCCAGGGATGGGGCCAGGAAAGGAATTGGGAGTTGGTGATCAG